GACAGAGAGAAAGAGAGAGAAAAATTGTTTTCAAAATTGAAACGAAACATTCATATTTTTAATAAATAATACTCTTATCATTATAATAATATAAGTGGAAAAAAACATTCTTTCCAAGTCAAGTAATAATAATATTTTCATAATTAATAATGAATAATAATAATAATAATAATTTTCAATAACTAATATAGAGCAATTGACAATTTTTATAAATGATAGATTCAGCAGTTGGTAGTTTACAAAATTAGCGATGCAACAGTTGGTAGTTTCAAAAAATTGGTGGCTTTGAATTTTTTTCCCTTTCAGAAATTAGTAGATTAAAAAATTTGCTTGCTTAAAATTGTTTAGTTTTATCAATTGATAGTTCCAAAAAATTAGTAGCTTGAAAATTGCTGGTTTCAGCAGTTGGCAGTTCTAAAAAATTAGTAGCTTAAAAATATTTAGTTGCAGCAGTTGATAGTTTCAAAAAATAAGTAGCTCAAAAATAATTAATTTCCGCAGTTGGTAGTTTCAAAAAATTGGTAGCTTAAAATTGGTTTTGTTTTAGAAAAAATGGAAATTCAAAAAATTGCTAGCTTAAAAATTGGTTATTTCAGCAGTTGGTAGTTCTAAAAAATTAGTGGCTTAAAAATATTTAGTTTTGTTGGTAGTTTCAAAAAATTGGTAGCTTAGAATTGGTTTAGTTTTAGAAAATATGTAAAATCAAAAAATTGCTAGCTTAAAAATTGGTTATTTCAGCAGTTGGTAGTTCTAAAAAATTAGTAGCTCAAAAATAATTAATTTCCGCAGTTGGTAGTTTCAAAAAATTGGTAGCTTAAAATTAGTTTTGTTTTAGAAAAAATGGAAATTCAAAAAATTGCTAGCTTAAAAATTGCATATTTCAGCAGTTGGTAGTTCTAAAAAATTAGTATAGCTTAAAAATATTTAGTTGCAGCAGTTATTAGTTTCAAAAAATTGGTAGCTTAAAATTGGTCTAGTTTTAGAAAAAAATGGAAATTCAAAAAATTTCTACCTTAAAAATTGGTAATTTCAGCAATTGGTAGTTCTAAAAAATTAGTAGCTTAAAAATATTTAGTTGTAGCAGTTGGTAGTTTCAAAAAATTTGTAGCTTAAAATTGGTTTAGTTTTAGAAAAATTGGAAATTCAAAAAATTGCTACCTTAAAAATTCGTTATTTCAGCAGTTGGTAGTTCTAAAAAATTAGTAGCTTAAAAATATTTAGTTGCAGCAGTTGGTAGTTTCAAAAAATTGGTAGCTTAAAATTGGTTTAGTTTTAGAAAAAATAGAAATTCAAAAAATTGCTACCTTAAAAATTGGTAATTTCAGCAGTTGGTAGTTCTAAAAAATTAGTAGCTTAAAAATATTTAGTTGCAGCAGTTGGTAGTTTCAAAAAATTAGTGGCTTAAAAATAGTCAGTTTCCGCAGTTGGTAGTTTAAAAGAAATTAGTAACTTAAAAATGTTTAATTTCAGTAGTTGGTAGTTTCATAAATTGGTAGTTTCATTAATTGGTATAAAAAAAATTTAATAATTGCTACTTTTGACATTTACCAATTTCAATAGTTAACCTAAAGATTAGTTTTTCAAAAATTAGTTATTTTAACAAATTGGTTTTTTAAAAATTTCCACTTAGTCAATTGGTAGATTAAACTATTATTTTAAAAAAAATTTTGTAACACTTAACTGAAGTACTTACTAATTGAAATTTATATAATTTAAAAAAAACAGAGTATTATGTTAAAAGTGGAATAAAATACTAAGTTATATTATCTAATCACTTGGTAAATGATGGTGGAAAATGGTGTTCTTCTTGAGCCTCGTGGAAAATAGATAATAAGCTTTCTTTTCCTCCCGGGGAGAGTTTCAAGGGATTTTGTCTATTCGAAAGAGAGAAAAAAAAGCTACGAATTTTAGAGGATTATTGTTGTTTGTAAGAAGAGGGATTTTCAATTTAGAGTTGTTTGTCCAAATTTATAAATCAAATTCAATTTTTTAGTTATAATATAGAAAATAAATTTAATTTAGTTATTTTCTAATTTAGAGTATTTAAAATAATAATTTGAATTTTTTTTTTTTAAATAGAAACAAAAATTATTTACTTTCTATTTCTAAATATAGAATATTTATAACAATTATTTATTTTTTCTTATTCTATAAACTGAATTTATTTTTTGTCCGAGTGTGTGTAAATGCTATTAATAAATTGTTTGTCCATTGGATCAGTTGCTTACACTCGTATACTCTGCGTACAGAATCGATCAGTTACTCAATCTAAGTAATTGAATTATTCAATTAACACTATTAACACAACTGCACATTTTATTGCCGTGATCCAATAAATTTGCATTCCAGCTTTAGTAAATATTCCCAGTTTTATATATATATATATATAACTCATCAATTAATATATCGTTCTTTAAGCATATTTTGTTCGAACAGAAGTAAAATATTTATTTTTCGGGGCAAAATCCATTTTCTTTTTTTTTTTGTGAACCTATATTTCATTTCAAATCAATTTCATTGATGGGGATTTTTCATTTATTTTCCATTAAAATAAACGGACTGAAATTTTTATATAATTCTTTGTTATCTCAAAAAGCGTATACTTTTTATTTTTATAGTCTAATTGCAATATAGCTGGCCATTATAAAGTTTCAAATGAAAAGTTAATTCTTTTTTTATAGTGAAAACAAATTTTGTTTGAAGATTTTTTTTTTATAAAATAATTCTTTTCTTTAAACAAAACTTATTTTTAAACTAATTTTTTTTTAATAAAATAATTTTTTTTTTTAATTTTGTACTATCTTTTTTTTATCATTGAAATAATATTGTTGAGTTTCTCTTTTTATTTTTTTTTCGCAATTTTTTTTTTTTTTTTTTTGCAGGAATATAAAAAACTAAATATGGTAGAATATAATACTGACAATGTGTGTTAAATTTAAAGGACAATGTCATTCTGATTCAGCTAAAAGGGGAAATCCATTAAAACCAAAATAACGTGTAGTCGTAAATTACGTTAAGTACGTAGTATTTTGTACACTTGAATAATTTTCATTATACACACAAAACGAATATATATATATGTACTAGAGTCACGCATTTCCAGATGAGAGTTGTTCTGTGCCGGATGTAACCACATGTGACACACGAGAAACGGAAAAGTGGTCACACCATGTGCGACTACAATTACTTTCTTAGAAATATATATATATATCGTTGACCCCGTATCAAATTTATATTTTCTCCTCCCTTTTCTCTTATTTATTTTATCAAAGAAACAAAATCGAAAATATCGCAATTTTCCAATTTTATTTTATTTTTATTAAAATTTAATTAAAATATTATTATTTGCTAATAATTTAAATAAATAATAAAATAAAGAAACTATTAATCAATGTAAAATTACCGAACACATAACCTATAATTCGTTTGCTTTTTAAGGTCCCTTATTTTAAAAATTTAATAATATATAGTAAAATTCCTGATTTGAAAAGAGAATCGAACATTAATGTTGACTAATAAAATCACAAAGGGTAATTTTTTTTTTCTTTAATTAGAAATTGTAACATAAAATTTAATAATATAATTATCTACCATGTAAAATAACTTTTCCGATAAAATGACTTTTTTTTTATTAAAATCTATTATTACGAAAAAATGGTACCCATAATGAGAATAATTTTTTTTTTTTTGAATTATAAATTATAATACACTTCTTGTATTATATATTAACTAAAAGCAGGTGAAGTGGACATGTTTAAAATATACATTTAATGTTCTGAATAGATTGCGTATAATTTGTAAAAAGAGAGGGAAAAAAACATTTTTATTTTTTTTTTTTTTCCTGTAAAGTATATTATATACCACTGCAGTCGAGAACTCAAATACAGCAAGTCTTGAAAAATGTATATTGCAGGATTTAATAATGCATTTTATGCCCCATTGTGTACGCATAATTTTATTCCAGAAGAAAGTATATCGCATTTGAAGTTGCTAGATAAATTTGTAACATAAATTTTCTTTCTCAAGCAAAGAAAAAATTTTATAAAAAAAAATAAAAGAAAATCATTAATCGTTTTCATTAAAAAATAAAATTGAAATAATTTTTTTCTAAACTGTCATTGTTGCAAAATAAAAAATAAATTTGAAAAAAAATATATAATATTATATTTAATAATTCGAGCTTTTTAGAAAGGAATATTTTTTTCAATTTTTTGACTTCAATTCAAATATTTGTTTGGAAAATTTTTGTTTCAAAAAATAAGTCACTTGCGGGTAAAATAAGATTTTTCTATTTTATATATATATATAGGAAAACAAAGCTCTCTTTCACATTGTTTGAAAATACAATAAGTATAAAAAGAAGAGAGTTACATGATGCGGAATGAAATCCATAATTTAGCGTTTGTTTACATTTTCATGAAACTTTTTAGAAGCTCACTGAGAGAGAGTGAAGGAGAGAGAAAAAAAAGGAGAGTAAGAGAGATTCGCAGAAAGTTTCTCATTGGGCACCAGTTTTCTTTGTACATTCCCCAGGAGCTATCTCACGAATCCTATTTTCTGAACTCTATCCATTTCACAGGAACTATTGGTTGCAATCGTTTACCCACATGTGTCCATGTTGCACATTTCCCTGGTGTAAATTTAAAAAACAAACTAAACGTATTTTTCTCATTCGTATAACAAATAAGGTGATTCGATTCTCAATAAAGTCTTCTGTGCAAGAAGAAAAATTACATGTATTTAGAAAAAATTTTCCTAAACAACATTAGAATTAATTAAAAAAATAGAGTTCTCTTTTGAGAAAAAAAAAATTATTTTTTTTTTTAACAAAATTTAATTCTCAATTTTTGAGAAAATATTTTAATTATATATAATATTTAATAAATATTTATAATTTAGATATGTGATTAATTAATTAATTATACAAAATTTTTGGACACCTTATTATTAATGTTTTTCACTGTTTTTAATTGGTAATTTTCTTTATATGTTTATTATAGGTATACGATATGTATAATTTCATTCTGATGACAATTGGGAGTTTCACCGCACTAAATTTGGATGCTACTTTCCATCAAAGTAAGTTAATATCAATATGTAATTAATAGTTTTATTTTCATAAATATTACAGCAAGAGATATTAATTTCTCTTTGATATATAATTTCTATATAAATGTTAATTAATATATGATACATTGAAATATGGAACATATTTAAATACTCGGCAAAACAAAAAAAAATATTTTCATTTTCTAATATTGAAAAACAGTATTCTCTATATTTAAATTAGTTACTTTTGGTTAAAATAAAATTGCGTCGATTCGTACATTCAATGAATTAGTAACCATTTTGACCAAAATTTATTCAGAATTAGAAGAAAATTACTAATTAATTTATTAAATCTTACTAATTACAAAAGTAGCTTTACTAAATGAATTCGCAGTTTTCTAATAATAATTAGTAATTTTCTACTACCAATTAGTAATTTTTTACTAACAATTAGTAATTTTCCACTAAAATTTAATAGTTTCCTACTAAGAATTAGTAGTTTTCTACTAAAATTTAATAGTTTCCTACTAAGAATTAGTAGTTTCCTACTAAGAATTAGTAGTTTTCCACTAAAAATTAATAGTTTCCTATTAATAATTAGTAGTTTCATAATAAGAATTAATAGTTTCCTATTAATAATTAGTAGTTTCCTACTAAGAATTAATAGTTTTCTACTAAGAATTAGTAGGTTTCCACAAAAAACTAGTAGTTTCCTACTAAGAATTAGTAGGTTTCCACTAAAAATTAGTAGTTTCCTACTAATAATTAGTAGTTTTCAACTGAAAATTAATCCTACTAAGAATTAATAGTTTCCTATTAATAATTAGTAGTTTCCTACTAAGAATTAATAGTTTTCTACTAAGAATTAGTAGGTTTCCACAAAAAACTAGTAGTTTCCTACTAAGAATTAGTAGGTTTCCACTAAAAATTAGTAGTTTCCTACTAATAATTAGTAGTTTTCAACTGAAAATTAATCCTACTAAGAATTAATAGTTTCCTACTAAGAATTAGTAGTTTCCTACTAAAATTTAATAGTTTCCTACTAAAAATTAGTAGTTTCCTACTAAAATTTAATAGTTTCCTACTAAGAATTAGTAGTTTCCTGCTAAGAATTAGTAGTTTCCTACTAATAATTAGTAGTTTTCCACTAAAAATTAATAGTTTCCTATTAATAATTAGTAGTTTCCTAATAAGAATTAATAGTTTCCTATTAATAATTAGTAGTTTCCTACTAATAATTAATAGTTTTCCACAAAAAAAATAGTAGTTTCCTACTAAGAATTAGTAGTTTTCCACTAAAAATTAATAGTTTCCTATTAATAATTAGTAGTTTCCTACTAAGAATTAATAGTTTTCCACTAAAAATTAGTAGTTTCCTACTAAGAATTAGTAGTTTTCCATTAAAAATTAGTAGTTCCCTACTAAGAATTAGTAGTTTTCTACTGAAAATTAGTAGTTTCCTCCTAAGAATTAATAGTTTCCTCCTAAGAATTAGTAGTGACAAAATTGATACTAATTCAGTTAATAAACGACTCGGAGCAGTAAAATTAGTCAAAAGTGACAAAATAGTAGAAACTACTAATTCACTTATTAAAAATTATTAATTAAAATAGTAGCGATTATTAAATAAATTCATAGTTTTTTATACAAAGAATCAGTAATTTTTTACTAATAATTAGTTAAACTGAATTCTAATTCATTTTTATAATAAACGAATTGGCGCATAGGTAAAAAGTTACTAATTCAGATTTAAAATTTAATAATAATATTCATTTCCAATTTACAAAAAAAAAAAAATAATAATTAATAGATACAATTTTTTTTTATAATCAGTATAATCTTTATGATGATATGATTTCTTTGAAAAAAAAACAACTTGTTTTTTTCAAAAGGAGAAAAATTGTATAAGACGGGAAATTGTCGAGTGGAGGTAAAAAAGGGAACGGTTTCATACAAAAGTACTTGACATTTTAGATGGAGTGAAGTTGTAAGGGACGGTTTTAGAATGAAATTGAAGTCAATATCAGTTTGATCTTGAGAAAATTGTAGACGAGTACGTTTTCATATAGTTGAATTTCCATCGTCGATATATATATATATATATATATATATATATATTTATATTGATTCACGTCATTTATTTACGTATTCCATCGACGATTTTTAAAGTTGAGTAAAATTGATATATTTTGTTGTTGTATGTTGCGCGCGCATAACTAATAATTTTCTCATGAAATCGACCGTGTTTTAATATATATATGTATATATATTTTCTCGTCGGGCCACGCAACCTCTTAAAAGGTTTTTGAATTATCTACTTCCATTCTGATAAAATTCGCCACTCTCTGGGAAACTTCAACGCGAAAATTTAACTTCTAAGCTCTCTAGGCAAACTTGTTATCTCCTATAATTATCTCCATTCTTTTCTTTAAACTCTAATCTTTATACAATATTTGTCACGTCACTCGGGGTTCACGTAAATATAATTTATTTTCTTTTTAAAGTTTAAACATAATGGTATTAAATAAATAAAAAAAAATTTTAATTTTAAATTACTCTTTTTTCCCTATATTACAAAATTTATTTGATTCAAATAATAGGTTATCAAATAAATATTTACTTGAATCAAGTAATTTTTTTTTAGTAATTAAACATTTTTTTTTTTAAGTGCAATTTGAGAAATGAGATCAAATTCGATAGTGTGAAATTCAGTTTCCAAAGTAGTAACTCTGTATGATGTTGGAGGGAGGGGGAGGGGGGGGTAAGAAAAGCCCAGTAGGACGGAAACCCCGAGGCGACTGATTTCCGTGAAAATGCGGGACTGTGCCGGGGATTAAGGGTCGACTCGATGACTCTTGGCTGCCGCTTGGGCAAATTAATTCCCATTTACGTGAACACGCTCAAATTCTCAGGAGAAATGGTCTCGAAACTAGGAGGCCAAAGATTTATTTCATCTAACACGCGAAAGTTGCATTTGTGAGTTTCGCCAACTTTTATATAATTACCGTCATTTCTTTTTCTATTCTTATATAAAAAAAGTTTTTTTTTTTTTTTTTTTTTTTGAAATATGGTGCAAAAATTACTCAAGTTGATTCAACTAAATTATTTATTTCTATCAAGTAAAATATTTATTTCTACTAAACAAATGTTTAGTTGCATAAAAAAAAAAATGTTTATATGCATCAAACAAATATTTCTTTGCGTCAAAGAAAATAATTATTTCTATCAAACAAATAATTATTTTTATCAAACAAATATTTATTTGCGTTGAAAGAAATGTTTATTTCTACTAAACAAATGTTTATATGCATCAAAAAAATTTTATGTGTATCAAACAAAATATTTATTTGTATCAAGCAAAATATTTATTTCTACTAAACAAATGTTTATTTGCATAAAAAAAAATGTTTATATGCATCAAACAAATATTTCATTGCGCCAAATAAAATAATTATTTACATCAAAGAAATATTTATTTCTATCAAACAAATAATTATTTTTATCAAACAAATATTTATTTGCGTCAAAGAAATGTTTATTTCTACTAAACAAATGTTTATATGCATCAAAAAAAATTTTATGTGTATCAAACAAAATATTTATTTGTATCAAACAAAATATTTATTTGTATCAAACAAACTATTTATTTCTATCAAACATATGTTTATTTGCGTCAAACAAAATAATTATTTACATCAAACAAATATTTATTTGTATGAAACAAATTTTGTTTGATGTAACAAAAAAAAAAAATGAAACAAAAGTTTTTTCTGTGTTTAACATTTTTGCTATTGGATCACTTGAGAAATTTTACATCATTATATATTTTAATCCCCTCCCTTCTCTCATAGTAGTTTGCATTTAATATAAGGACGAGTTACGTCAAAACAAGCTTTTGGCTTCTGGCAGTTAAGCAAAGTGTAACAAAGCTACAAAACAAAGCTTGCTTGTTAATTATTGCCAACGAAAACTTTTTTAATGAGATATTTTATTTATTTATTTATTATTATTATTATTATTATTATTATTATTATTATTATAAATATTATTATAATTATTATTATAATTATTACTATAATTATTGTTATAATTATTGTTATTAAAAATTATTTAAATTATTATTATTAAATAATTTAGTTACACAGTTAATTTCATTTGGAGTTTACAAATTTGTACCCGTATTTTAATTCAATTAGTTTCTATTTCACTGTGGCAATAAATTATTAAGTAAATTTATATACAAACAATATATTTGACATAAAGTTTATATGAATATATAATTGTTTCTATTTATTTAATAAATAGGTATATATATATATAAATGAATCAAAAAATTTATTTATAAAATAAAAAATTTGACATATTGTTAAAGAAAAATTAATTTTTTGAAAATATATAAAAAATTTTTTTTAATTCGTGTAGCTTTAGATGAAATTTTATAAAAGGAGCTTATTGTTGTTTAAATTGAAATTATTCAGAGGGAAAATGTTTCAATTAATTGACATTCGAAATGGGAATTTTTAAATGTTTCATACGTATGTATATATGTTTTATACTTGTATGAGAATAAATTTTAATGAAAAACGTGTGTTGACCCAAATATTGTAAAAACACTCAACGTTATACGCTTTAATTTCCTTTTGGTTTTTTTTTTTTTTTGATCATTTGTCAAATGTTATGTTGCAAATTAAGACGAATGAAGTTTAATTTTTTTTGTACAAAAAAAAAAAAAAAAAATTCCCGTCACTTTATTTTTATTCGCGAAATTATCTTTATAAAAAAAAGCACTTTCCACTATTTAATTTATTAAATAAAATAAAATTTATTTATTAACATTTTTTTCCATGGAATAATATTTTTCTTTTTTCATTACGAATTATTTTTATATGCTTGCGTTTTTTTTCTAAAAAAAAAAAAATATAAATAAATAAATAAATCAAATCTTTTTTTTTAGTAATCGAATGAGAAAAGAAGTGATAAAATTCGTGATTTTTGATCGGAAAATCTAGGTAATATTTGAAATTTTGTCT